ATGTAAGCGCTGTATAATTCAGTTCATAATCTGAAATGATGAAAGATAAACATAAAAGTAAAATGTTGTATCACATGCGTCATGTCAATGTCATAAACCCACCTGCTTTTTTTTTATATACACTGTACATTACCCAAAGTAAACATCACAGGTACAAAGGACTTAAGTATCAAGGACTACATATAAAATAATATAATGGCTGTGATCAGTAATGTGCATTCAGATTATTATATCACTTAATAACAATAATTATACAAAAGCATAAATAAAATTTGAGAATGCACTTACAGTTAAACATAGTTTTTACAATTTATTTTATTAGTATTTAAGTAATTTTTATAATAACCCTTGTACAGTACAACTACTACCATTCATCACAAGTATTTCAAGCCAAACTAGAGAGGCAATAGTAGAAGTGTTCAAATTATTGACTGGATTTTCTTGTTTATCAGAAAAGCACTGTCACACTGGCAGTTGTGATGCACACAGGGACTCTGGCATTGATATAATTTCATCCTTCCTTGTTAAGACACTGCTGTGATCCATCTGTCTATAACCTAATATCAATAGATGAAAGATGCTATAATATAATGAGATATATGTAAACACTTACAAACCAAAACCTTTACAATATACTATGTATATAAGTTACACTTATATTATAAAACATGAAAACTTATTACAAAGTCTTTACCCATATCCACGATTGTCATTGCTATAATGCTGATGGACATAAAATGTGTTGAACCCACTTTAGCTTAAGTGTCTTTTAATTTCATTTATAACACTTAAATTACTAATTTGACACAATACATAAATTTTTTACATTTTACTTATATTAAAAAAAATACCTGCATGTAATTATTTCTGTAACTGCATCTACAGGCCCTATCCCTGAATCCACCCATCCTAACCATATCACTAAACCTGTCACTAACCTTACCTTAATGCTGTGCAAAACAACATGAACACAGTAAGTACAATGCACCAAATAAATACATAATTTAAAAAAAACACACATATTATTTGTTTTTTTGCTGTAAGTACATAGTAGTTAAATACTAATATAATATACAGTGGGACCAATGTGTATACTAATTTTAAACAGCAAGCTTGAAATATTTTCCAGTAACATAATGCAGGTTTTAAAATTTCAGTACATTAACTGGACCTTTTTTTAATGTTTTAAGTATGTTTTAGGTATACAGAAGTCTAGAACCACTAGGTGGGAAAAAATAAAAAATAATATCACAAAATGATTTTTTTTTTAGTGCCTTAGTGAGTCTATTCCTTAATTATAATTCTTTTCTGTATTCAACTACATTTTTCTTTAATATGCAATATTAGATATTAAATACATATTACTCCAATAATGGTTGACCATATTTTGGGTCAAAAAAAAAAAAAGTATTACATTTTAAAACAATAATGTGATGTGAAAAAAAGATAAATATATAATGAAGGAAATAGACCCTGTAAGACTTGATTTTTACCATCTTGTGGATCAGTATCCAGTTGCAAGAAACTCCTTAAGTTATGCAAATAAGTGTATTATCTCTAAAGGTTAATTTGAGGGTTTTGTGCGACTGAACACAAGACCTTCTTTCCAAGTTGCATGTCGCCACCATGTGGTTATTTCTAAATATACACAAATACAGAAACAGTGTAGGCCTATTTGCCACGAAGCAATATAACAAATGAAAGCATCAAATATATAAAAAATAATAATAAATAAAAATTAGATGGACACTTGTCAGTAATATCTGACTTAAGTCAATTACAAAGAGACGGGTGAGGGCAGAGACAGAGAGAGAGAGAGAGAGAGAGAGAACACGTCATGTGCCCTGCCCACGCAGAGCATCAGTGAGTATTTCTGCCTTCAGTTCCTCTCACTACAGCACACTTGACTGGACACCGGCGACACCAACCAACTAACTACAGCAGAAAATGAACAACGGGGCGAATTACAAATGAAATAGAAATATATGCACCGAACCAATGTAGATTTTTACGACTGTTAAGCATGCAAGGGTTTGGCAACGTTTGAAATTCGTGTTCTACATAATTTCCAAGACAGTGAAAAAGGTCTACTAATGGCACTTTGGATCGTGTGAGAAATCAGGTTTGGTCTTACCCGTAACACTGTTGTGTTGAAGAACTTTTTATAGTCACAACCGAACTCCTTAAACACGGAACAATACACACAATTCCTGGAAGCGTCACAGTTGTCATAACAAACAAGAAAAAGTCAACAAGATTGTACATTCACTGGAAAGAAAAGATTAACATTGCATCTGTCAAGTTTTTGATTAAATGCAGATGTGAAGAAACACATTGTTTAAAGTTACATTAAACCCTGTCCTGTATAATAATCTTCCTACATCGTGTTCAAAACCATGTCACCTACTTTCACTTTTTAATCCAGTGTTACATAAGCAACTGGCATCTTTAAGCTAACTGCCCAAAGGTTTTGTGTTAGAACTCGTCAACACAAAGCATTCAGTGTTGGTCTGACTAAAGGCCGGTAATATGAATTTATACATCTACTCAATAGTGGCCACAAGGGGATTTGATTCGCCATCTGTCGAAGTCTCCCTCTCATATAGCATCTGACAGCGGCTTCTCTGATTGGCTGAAGTCAGAGATAAACCACACCCACTATCTTTAACCACTTGCCTTCGCGTACGCGCTGCGCTCGACAGAACGGTTGCCCGGTCGCCATCTTTGAATTCCAACAAGTTTTTAAAAATACAACGGCTATTTGCCCCCGCCTCGCATTTGTCTTGCTCGTTTACAAAGTGCTACTATATTTACCCCGCTAGCGACTCACGGACATTAAGACGATACCTCGAGCTGTATATAGGGATGATGGCGACGCGAGACAGCCGTTCCGAGCTACAGTATTTCCCGTAGATCCAGTCAGAAAAACAAAGCCACCATTGCCTCGAGTGATCCGAGCAAAGGACAACCCGTCCGCCATTTTAAAGCAAAATCGACAAGACAAATACCCTATCTAACGTTACGCACTCGTTAAGCACACAACACAAAAAATGCAATCTTTATAGTCAGACTGCTATGCATTTGTATAAATTATCATTGCCTAGGGAGGTTTATTTCACCAAACTAGCTCAACGGTATCCAGTTCCGCCAACTAATAACACCTAACGACATTATGAACAAAATGTTGCATTTCAGTCTGTTTTCCCCGTTCGGCTAAATCCACAGGCGCCACTTGGCAATCTTTATGTGCAGATTGCGTTGGTTGTTCCAGTGAGCTCTCCTTTGAAAAGAATGCAGTTTATAAAAAGCCCCAATTGAATGCAGTCACTTCCTGGCTTTGCCTATGGCAATCTTTATGTACAGATTGCTTATGACTAGCGATGGCTAGCTTATTATTCGATGATTTATCGCTACTTTAATAATCATAAGGATTGCTCCGTCTCACACACAAAGAGAAGCAGGGCGTTGAAGCCGCTGCTCTGGCTTTGCGGTGAGCTCATACACTAGTCTCGCTTTATCTCAGCATGCTGTCTGCTTCTAGAAACTGTGGCGCATTTAGGTCGCCACGCTCGATACAAACAGGAATTTTTCATCTCTAAGTTATATCTGGAATCATTTTCAACACAGACAACTGGTTAACTCTTACGTAGTTTCGATTCAAATTGGTTTGAAAGAACACTTACTATTAAAACCTCTCCTCTGCGTCTCGGGTTGCTATTAATATATTGTGCTTAACAGCAACAAATTTCAGCTTTTTAACAGTTTAAGAGAACGTAAACTGTCATGACTTTAGCATTATTGGCTGAAAAATTGCATAATGGGCGGGATTGTGGTGGCTGAAATTGAGCTTTTCCTTCTTGAACAATCTGGAGCAAAAAAGTAGTAAGCGAATGTCCGTTACTCGAGTAGAAAATTTGAGTTTTTTTGGGCTTTGATCTTCGCACACAGTTGAAAAATCCTCGACGCCAGATCTTCACTGAGACCGACTCAGACCTGAAACGAAACAACAGCACAAAGAGACGTTAGAGAAAACGAGTATTTGGCGGCGAAAATCCAGAGAATAATCGAAAGGTCGTTTTTGTTGATAAAAAAACTGACGTGGTAGCCGGACTTTGGGATAAAAATAGTCTTTTAAATCGCAAAAAGTGGAGAACCGCCCTCCGACACGACACTTACCTCAGACAAATCCAGGAATGCTCCGGAAGGGCAGGACTCGGTATATATAGTTCTGACGTGTTTTGCGTCACCCGGGGCTCGTGCGCGCGCTCTCGGGCGTTTCTTTCAACACAAAATGGAGTTGATGGTCACGCGCTCCTGTCGCGCGCGCGCTCGAGACGACCTTCTGTGTGCTGAAGGACGCGCCCATCCCCCACCCCGACTTCCGGTGCAAAGATAATCGTTCATTTGTTGGAATTTTTGAAATTTAAAAATGATGTAAGAATTTACTCTGCATCACTGTACAATAATCTAGGCATATTCGTTTATGCACATTCAAGAACTAGCTATTTTGAGGTAGATTCAAACTTTATGTGAACTACTGTAATAAGTGTGGGTTAAAAATGAGAAACAGACACTGATCTATAATAGAGTTATAATATAATATATATAATAATATAGATCAGTGGAAACAGACACGGTAAAGGATGGAAAATACTCTTTGTAATGTTTAATTCCTTTCATTATAACTGGTGGAGTTACATTGGGTTTATTTTCGATTATAATACGTAGCATAACACACTGTATACATATATTATAAAACAGTCATTAATTTAAATGATAATTTAATATATAACCACAAGTAATATTCCTATAAAAGAAAAGCAAAACATCGGCAAAAATGTATTAACTACACAGGCAAACTGGCGAACATGAGGGATCGTTTCAGGTTTCACAAACAAAAAAATGCATTTTAAATTAAATTTTAAATATTTGACTAGTTGGTAAACTGAATTCATTTAAAACGAAAAAGTGAGAACAATAAATGCGCACTTCCGTCACAGGACACTTATCCTCTCAACAACTTCCTTTGCTACAAAGACAAAATGGCGGCCTCCTTACAACGCATTGGAATAGCTATCTGCCGCACATTTCCTGTCATTTTACAACGAAATATTCAAACACAGGTTGGTTGGTTACCGACAAAATCTTTTTAATGAATGTTTTTATTTATACATGACGTAGAATTGTGTTTGTTGTGATTAGAGGGCAGTCATTCGCGTGCAAACACCTCAACCAACATAAAGGACTATTTACGCGTTTTGTATTGCAGAGAATTCGTGATTGGACAATAACTTCAAGTGCTGCTCCAGGGCTGCGTCTGAAGTTTCGTGCTTTATCATCATCGTCTGCTGAAAACACAGAATCAGCCGAGACACTGTCTAGATATTCAGACAGACCATGGGAATACTTAGAAAGTGAAGGTAAATATGATTGATTATATGATTAAATGAAGCACTTGTGGTGAAACAGTGCTTAATGTTGGTCAGACCTCTCTTGTAGAGTACATTGAGCGCTATGCATCAAAGCCTGTGTGGTCTAACTACAGAAGGAATCATAAGGGGGGCGTCCCTCCTCAAAAGACAAGAAAGACCTGTATTGTAAGTACACATTTGTTTTAGATTGATTGTTCAGATGTTTGTTTTTTTTCAGTCCATTTAATTTGTATTAATGAGGATGATTGTCTTGTCGTAGAGAGGGGATAAGATATGTGGTAACCCTTGTCCCATCTGTCGTGATCCAAACATCATTGTCCATTACAAGGTGTGTTTTTCGATTCTGTCATCTTTTATTTCATGTGGAAAATGTAAGTATTACACTTTAAATGTATTTGCTTTAACAGACACTTTTTTTCTGCAGAATGTGAATCTGTTGCAGCAGTTCATTAGTCCTCAAACAGGAATTGTGCACGATCCCACTCGAACCGGTAATGAATTTCTCAGTACATCATATTTCTGATATACTCGTGATCTGATCACCATTTTACTCTTAATCTTTCCTCAGGTGTGTGCATGAAACAACAGAAACTACTTAACAAGGCCATTGAAACCGCTAGAGATTGTGGTAAATTTACAGTTTTTGTTGTAAGTGTCAGTGTGCACAAGTCCTTTTATGAAAGAGCCAGAAGGGAATGATAAATCTCATTATTTGGTGCACAAGTGCTTAATGTGATTTGATTCTTTTCTCCTCTGTTTAAGGTTTACTTGCTGTTCAGTTACCTCATGTTGATTACTCTAAAGAGGACTACACAAACACTCATGGTGCTGTAGCACCAACTCCTGCCCCATTTTCTCTCAGCTCTGGAGAACTGTGGTATTCGTGGTATGGTAGTATAAAACCAGGTGAGCGAGAACTGGCAAGAGTGAAGCGGATCTACAAAGACTACCTGAAACCGGATGTTTGAATCTTGTTGCAATAGACCTTAGTCAGAGCAGATGCCATGTATTTTACATGCATGAAAACAAGGCAGTGAGGGATAGAGACTTACTGTCTTTACAATGTCATTTTTCAAACTCTTTATGGCGTTGTCTACTGAAAGCTTTTTGGAAAGACATTTCATTAGCTGAAAAATCGGTATGAACTCATTAAACGCCATGTACTTCTATCCCTCAGCCTCGTTTTCATTCCTGTCAAAAAATTACATATTGCGCTACCCTGATTAAGGTCTATCGAAAGAGTGGTTGTAATTTCAATTGTGGATGTTTCATCCAAATTATGTTTCCATAACAGTACTTAATGAGCAAGAAGAAAATGTACATTTTCCATTCATGTTGTTACATTTTGTCCATGCAAGACAAGCATAATATAAGAAATCTCAAATAAAAGCACTAAATAAACTTGACTTTGTTGCAAAAATGATTTATTTGCTTTTTCCATGACATTTAGATGCATACTTTATTCAATTTTTTTATTCAAATCAAGTTAGTCAATAGTTTATTTCATCATTCAAGACAGATGAGCTACAGGGAGCATCACTGTTTGAACATTTATATAGGTTAAACAATCTGGAGCTGCTTTAGAATGCAAGCATAATGACGATTTAATGACCTGAACCGAAGTACTCCTTACAAAGGCAGGTTAATACTAAATATATGTGTCAGCAATCAGACACCATTATCAAACTGCACACTGTTAGCCCCATCTGTTCACATTTGATAGTGACAGTGCGTTTTATAGCATTGCATCACATGGATGAACAGAGCTGGTAATGATGAATGTAAGCATAATACAAGAATGCCAGACACCATGACTAAAGAACAAGCGCTGTATGTATAAATTGTCAGCAAGTAAAAATAGTGATCTAGAATCAGTCTTCACGTGTAAAGTAAAAGACGTGAAAAACCCCATCCTGGTTCTGTAGGGTTTGTGTATATCACCCTGCACCGTTTGCATGCAGGTGCTCGGCATAATCCATCAATTTAACAAAAATTTTTTGGTTCTATTGAGGCTTAGTTAGATGCAACAAAAAGCCCTTTAGTGATGTAGTTTGACACTCTTGTTATTAATACCAGCCATTGTTCATTCTTTAGGCTTGTTGACCAGGGTTTCTCCAAGAGCCTCCAGCACTTCTCTCTTGTATTCTTCAAAGTCTCCATCAATCTGGTTGATCGACTGGTCCTCGACCACCCACAGCTGGCACTGGGTCTCGGTGATCAGCCTGGCATCGTGGCTTACAATTACCACAGCTAAACACATTCATATTAAATGTTAATAATAATGATTTTACTCCCTGGTTTCCACCTTAATAATTATCATTATTGTATATAGTTTATAAATCTTACCCCCTTTGTATTCGTTGATGGCTTCTGACAATGCATCAATCGACTCAATGTCCAAGTTATTTGTGGGCTCATCCTGTACATTTGCATGGTTAGAAAATGTTAAAGCTCTCATTTTTACTTAAATTCTTGAGATATTTAAAACATTTACTCCTTACCAAAATAAGGACGTCAGGTTGCCGACAAGCAAGTTCAGAAAATACCACTCTTGCTTTCTGACCACCTAAAAAACAAACACACAGGACAATTCAGAAAAAAATGTCAACGAAGGACAGATGACTTTGAAAATCATACATGAATGCATTCCTATAGTGCTTACCAGACAGTTTGGAGATCAGGATGGTGTGTGCGTGGCTCTCTAACCCAAAGCGACCCAGGCACTTCCTGGCATCCTGGTATTGGAGGTTGAAGTTCCTCTGGAGGTACTCTGTGGGAGACTCCTCCATGTTCAGCTGATCAGCATACTGCTGGTTGAAGAAACCTACTTTCTACAGGCAGAGGCAGAAGAACGAGCAATTAGCCAGTCAAGAAAAGGTCAAATAAAAATAATGATTTTAAACATCTGCGATACCAATCGATGGTTCTTCCTCATCTCTCCTTTTGTCTAAAATGAAATAAAAAAAAGAAGCTTCATAATTAATTATATGAAGGAAACAAATCAACAAACATGGGAAAAAACAAGTACCCATTTTTCCTCAAATAAATATTATAAATATATTTTTTAATTTTCATCTTTGTTTTTTTACAACTATGAGTTATTACTTAAAAATAAGTGGTACTTACAGGATTTAATTTTCCAGTCAAAAGCAGGAGGAGTGTACTTTTCCCAACTCCATTGGGTCCAACAATACATACTGAAACAGAGAAAGTTAACTCAAGCTCATTTGAAAACCATTAAGAGTTTTCTAACATTGTCTTGTGCCATTGTAATTAACATGCTAGTCATAATTTCTATAGACGTGTGACTTACTTCTGGAATCCATATCTATACCAAAGTCCACATTCTTGAACAGAGGCTTCTGGCCTGCATAACCAAAGTCAACACCTGTGAGTGGAAGAGAGAATACACCAAACTGGTCATCAGGTTTGATCAAAACAAGATGCTACAATGAGTGAAAGTCACAAAAGACTCACTGTGCAGGCCGAGAATAGGCGGTGAGAGCGGAGGAGGGTTCGGGAAGGTGAATTTGACGGTATATTCTCTCGGCCTCTTGAGGAGCTCCGTGGCCTCATGGCTCTCCTCCTCCTGACCTTTCTTCTTCCCCTTCTGCTGTTTCCTTGTCTGGGCCTCTTTCGTCTGTTTCTCCTGAAAAAAGAATGATGGAGAATGATTGGCAGGGTTTGAGAAGACTAGAATCGTGAAGAACATGAGGAAAAAGTCAAGGACTTACAGCTTGTTTGGTGGACTTTCCACCAGCCTTCAGGTCTTTGAGCTTTTTCTCTTGTTTCTCGTACTGCTTCAGGAGTTCCTTCTGTTTCTGTACGTACATCTTCTTAAACGTCACTAGGAGACATCAAGCAAATATAAACTACAGTAAGATAATTAAACTTCTTTCGGTAGATTTCATTTGTTGCTGTTCAGAAACGAAACTCACGGTAGTTGCCCCTGTAGTAGTAGAGTTTCTGGTTGTCCAGGTGAATGATATCTGTACAGACGTCATCTAAGAAACTCTGGTCGTGGGACACAATTAGAAGCGTTTTCTTCCAGCTCTGTAAGTAGCTAAAAGGGAAAATAAAAGATATGAGGTGATTTGTCAGTAGAATATAGCAATGACAAAGGTGCGACTGATATTCTACTGAAAATGCAGTAACAAGATCAAAAACACAGGAGCCTGACAACCTTTAGTGATGCAATCACTGTGTGACCACCCCTTAATACAATCAAGATTTAAAGTAGGCTATTTATAATTTGCACGGAATGTAAATACATCAGCTAGACGGGATTGTTTACTTAATAGCATCACTTAAAGCAAAAGTAATTACTTGTTAAGCCAGATGACAGCGTTAAGGTCCAAGTGGTTAGTGGGCTCGTCCAGCATCAGTAGAGTGGGCTCCATGAACAGCGCTCTGGAATGAAGACAACTTTTCTTATTCATCATATCAATGTCATGTCAGAGTAGATTTTAATTTACTTTCATTTAATTAATTACTAAATGAATGCATTGTGCCCACCTAGCCAGGGACACTCTCATCCTCCATCCACCAGAGAACTTCTTAGTGGGTCTGTTCTGCATCTCTGGAGTGAAAGACAAACCAGCCAAGATCCTACGAGCTTTAGCCTCCGCTGCAGCTGCTCCAATCGCCCTCAACTCCTCATAAACCTGTGAATCACACACACACTCACAGTTATCCTCCACTACTCCATGGATCAGTGTATTTAGAGAATCTCAGCGAGCTGCTCTCAATCTGACCTTGTCGAGTCTCTCAGACACGCCGTCGTCTCCTTTCTCCAGCCGACTCTGTAGCTGTTGTTCCTCCTCCAGGAGCTTCAGTCTGCGCGTGTCGGCCTTCAGCACCGCCTGAACTGCAGGAGTGTCGTCTGCCACCACCTCTGAGGAATGACAAAGAGAAAAAATATCATGCTCAAAACATATTATATCATGCACAAAATAGATGGCTCAAATGAAAAAAGTTGGACACACAGGCTGCACCAGGGTTATTACAGTTAACTAAAACCATGAGAAACATTTTTACTTGAAATAAAATATTTCAGCTAGTAGGCAACATTTGTAATGTACTAAAATAACTAAAAATGACATAAAAATGAATAAAAATTATATTGACAAATTAAAAAAAGCAAACACATACTGAATGACAAAAACACATAAAAATTACCTAAATATTAACAAATTAAAGTGAAAATATATAAACATTAAAATTCTAAATATTAATAATACACTAATATATATGTGACCCTGGACCACAAAACCAGTCATAAGGGTAAATTTTGCGAAATTGATCCATTGATATATGGTTTGTTAGGATCGGACAATATTTGGTCGAGATATAACTATTTGAAAATCTGGAATCTTGAGGGTGCAAAAAAATCAAAATATTGAGAAAAATCACCTTTAAAGTTGTCCAAATTAAGTTCTTAGCAATGCATATTACTAATCAAATTACAAAAAATTAAGTTTTAATATATTTACAGTAGGAAATTTACAAAATATCTTCATGGAACATCATCTTTTAAGACTGGTTTTGTGGTCCAGGGTCACATATGGGCTGTACTTTACCTTGCTCACAAAGCAGCACATCAATATTGGGAGGAATGCTAAGTGCTCTGTTAGCAATGTGCTTCAGTAGAGTGGTCTTCCCTTTCCTGGTTCAAACAGGATACAGGTGTAAGAATACAGTTTTTACTAGAGAAACACTTCCGAACTGAACAATGCCTTACATGCAATGCAGTAATAAAGTAATGTGTCAAATTTAAACCATCATCAACCCACCCATTTGGTCCAACCAGACCGTATCGCCTCCCAGCAACAATCAGAAGGTCGGCGTTAACAAACAGCTCTTTACCGTGGGCTGAAATGCTGAATCTTTCCAACTAAAAACAGATCATAGAAATGAGTACACAGTATTAAGTGCTTTTCAATGTCTCAGATGAAAGTTTCCCATTTGTCTAACCTTGATGTCCGAAGCGTTTTCCAGCATGGCCTGTCGAGAGGACAGCTCAGCCTGAGAGATGGAGAAGTCTCCCTCAATGGCGTTCTGAGCTCGTACACTAGCCACCTGCCGCTCATACTCCATCTGCACAACACAAGAGGAAGTGTCAACAAT